TGGGCAAGGAGCGGGCCGAGCTGGTGGGCACCTAGACACAAGCTCCTAAAGTGCCCCAGAGCCGAGTTACACTTGCTCACAGTGCCTGGCATTTGGTGGGGGCTCATACCAGCCGTCACTACTAGTTACACTGCAGTTCCGTGCCCTGGACTCTACTCCGGGGGCGGAGGGTGCGTGACTGACCTTTTTCTTACCGTAACCTCCCTGTCAGGTGACTGCTGTGCTCATTTCTCAGATGGAGGCACAGAGAGTTGGTGTTACTTGCCCGAGATCACACAGCTTGGCCGCCATGGAGTGAGTGGGAAGGCAGTGCCGTGCTCCTGCTGGGACACACAGAGCCATCGCCTTCCCTGCCCTTCGTGTCCCCCACCTGCTCCAGAAGGTCCTGTGGAAGACCAGGGGCCTTTGTGGAGGAGCCACGAGGAAGGCTGGAGCGCATCCTCCTTGAGCACGCCTACCCGCCCAGGCGCGCTGGCCGGAGACCTGGCTGACTCCCTCCGGGAGCCTCCCATGGACCGGGGCTGGGGAACGGGTCCGTGGCAAAAGGACAGAAGCCTCGTGAGGGAGCAATCTTGTCACTGCTTCCCAGGTCAGCCCTTTGAGAGTGCCGCTGCAACCTGAGCTCCCCTGCTGGCTGAGCCTCCTCTCATTTAGCTCGCACACAGCCTGGGGGCTGTCCCCGATGATCCCGAGATTCAGATGGAAACTGAGGCAAGCACAGCCACACGCACAGCCATGCATGAGGCTCAGCGGGACGGTCATTTTTATCTTTCGGACACTGGCAATCAACCAATCATGTTTCCCCACATGGACAACATCTGTCATGGGTCTGTGGTCCATGGGGGGACACAGCAGCTGCACTGTGTCCCCAGTGGGAAGTGGGTCCTTCCTCGATTTCACTTTTTCTTCTCACTGTGGTACCTCCTGCTGGTCCATGATGTCCTCCAGGGACCCAAAGGCACTGGGAAGGAGACTGGGTAGAAAGAAATAGACACACCACGTGCGCACCTGGCCTTCCCCTGCATGGCGTCGTGAACATACGTTCGTGACACCAGGTTCACCTCTCGGTTGAGGAACTTGAGGCTCAGAGAATCAAAGGGACTCAGAGTGCCTGTCTGCTGGCTGGTTGCACCCCACCTTTTTCCAGAGAGGGTAAGAGAGGGACAGAACGGACTGGCCTGACGGTGGCCCTGCAGCCAGCCTCGGGGTTCAGAGCAGGGTCTGTCCTTCACACACGTGGCTCAGCACCCCAACGCCCAGGCAGCCCAGGCAGCTTTCCATGCGGGACCTTGGGCAGGCATCGGTCCGCCTCAAGAAGCTAATGGAGGGGGTTGGGGTGAGGGGTCTGCCTGGGCACCAGGGAGCCCTGTGGGCACTCCTGTGTCTGCCTTCAGGGCAAGAGCATGTCAGAGCCCATCCTGGGTCTGATGAGTGGGTACAGCCAATGTAGTGAAGACCTCAGAGCTAAGGCGGGAATGGGGCAGGTGAACGATGGTGTTGGGAGCAAGTAATGAGGCCAGGAGGCCAGGCGCCTTTCATCCTCAAGTAGGGGTCTCACAGGCCCACAGCAGCTGGCAGGGGCAGGACAGGGCCTATAGGACTTCCTAGGACCTCCTGGAGTTTAGAGGCAGCACAGGGAAGGCACTGGGAAGCACAACGCAGACGAGGCCAGAGGAAGGGACGAGACATGGCTGGGTCACACAGCAGGTTCCCAGGGCATCGCCCCTAGGCCTGCTCCTCCCCTTGGCCAAGAGCCCAGGCCCCGAATGCTGCCCAGACACTCCACTCCATCCAGGCCCTGAGGCCCCAACCAGCTCTTCTGGTCTGGCTCCCAGGCTGCCCAACCACTGGGAGCCCCACTGTCGGCCCCATTCCTGCCTCACACTCCTGGAGGGTGCCCGGCTGGGGCTGGAGAGGGACTGCAACCAGACCACTGAGCGCGGATCACCTCCCCCGCCCCCTGCAGGTGTCCACCTGTGCAGTCTGGCCACACTGGAGTCAAGAGAGGTGGGAGGGTGTTTGGAAAGAAATCATTCTTGAAGCCCGTGAGAAGGGTGAGCGCAGGCATGGGAGGCCAGGCACCACGGGGGGACCTGCTTATCCAGAAGAGACACAGGTTGGCCCAGAGGAGACTCCCTGGCTGCCAACACGTCCTACCTTGCTCGCTGCTGCTGGTGTGCAAATGGGCTGAATGAAATATCTGGAAATTCTCCTGAAACAAGTTTTCAGTAAGTCCACACTGCACTCATTGATGCATTTTGCAAAAGTTTATTGAGCTTTTCCTGGGTGCCAGGTGCAGGGTCGTCACTGCAGAGGACCCAGCGGCCAGCCTGGGAGAAGCTGGGCCGGGGCCGCAGGTACAAAACCCAGTGGTGAAACTCGCCCCTGCTGTGGCTGTGGATACGGAGGAAGGCTGAAGGCAGGAGGGCACCGGGGAGGGGGCACGGAGGAAGGCTCAGGTCCCTCTGGGAGACTAGGCAGGCTGGACCCAGGTGGAGGTGAAAGTGGTGCAGGAGGAGGAATGAGAGTCGCCAGGGGAGGGAGAAGGGCTGAGGGAACAGCATGTGTGGGGGCTCAGAGGCAGGACAGTGCCTGGGAATGCCGGGAGCATCAAGAAGCCAGTGGGGGCTGGGGGGGCAAGATAGGGACAATGACCAAGAAGGGCTGAAGCCCAGGCAGCCAGGTCACACTGAGATGGGACAAGGGCACAGCCAGCACACACCTGTAGCTGCGGCCTGTCCATCTCCTCCCAGAAGCCTCAGGAGGCCCTCCGGCCCCAAGGAAGTCTCAGCAGCAACTTCTCTGGGCACTGGGAGTTACTCTGCCAGGAGGGAGACAGTGGCTGCACCACCGCACACCCACCCACCAAGCCCCACACGGGGCAATGTGGGGGAGGGGTCAGGGCCCAGGCACACCCCCAAGCCCTCCCTTTCACAGGAGACAGCCCCCAGGAGGAGAGTCTGGGAAGCAGGGAGGCCCCCCTCCCCAAAGCCCAGCACTCCCCCGGGCCCAGCCCCTTGCCAAGTTGCCCCTGGACACCAACTGGACCCAGTCCCACTTGTTGCTCCTTGCCTTTCCCCTGCCCGCCCCCTGCTGGAGCTGTGAGAGGGCAGGCAGAATGGGGCAGCCCAGCCAGGCCCAGAGGCCTGGGGCACAGCCCCAGCTCCAACCCCGGTCCCCCCAGGACAAAGCCTGCAAGGCCACTGGGGCCAGACCTCTGCAAGAGGCCTGGTGCTCCCCCAAATCCAGGGTGGGTCTTGGCCTCGGGCCAAGATTCTCACTGCTGACCCCTAGGACAGGGTGGGCAGCTGGTAGAATGGGCCAGGCCTAAGGTGAGCTGGGGGTGCTACCCTGGGCTGGGGGCAGGGTGGGGCAGGGGCTGCTTGGGGAGGAAAGAGGGTTTGAGAGAGGGAGAGGAGAGGGAGGAAGGAGCAGTGGGGAATGGGGGCAGGGTTAGCCCTGGAGTAAGTCCCAAGCTGAGATCTGGGTCCCAAAGGCCAAAGGCCAGTAGCACCTGGATCTGTCCTCACCTGTGCAAGGGGCGGGGAGCCAGGTGGGACTGAGCGCCTTGTCCAATGTTCTGGAATCCCAAGGTGTGGGGTGCAGCCTGTCAGCACAAGCAGCAGAGCAGGTCCCCCAGAGCAGCCCACAGCCCTAAGATGCTGCTCCCCTGAGCCTGCGTGGGTCTGGAGGGTGTGGAGGCTGCTGGCTGGGCAGGACTCGACCTGGACGCACCCTCAAAGGAGACCAGACAGGTCCAGACCACACCCGCCACACACACACCATGACCATCACCACATATCCCAGACAGCACAAAAGGCTCTCCCAGCCCAAGGGGGCTTTTCATTTTCGGAAACTAAATGTGGAAGTTGGGGGCGGGGGGCATGGCCCTGCCCAGTTCTGGCGCCAGGACAGGTCCTTGAAGGGCACCCTCAGAAATCAAGGAATCGGGGCTTGAGAGTTTGTCCAACAAAAGTTGGGACTCCTCTTGCCCCAGCCCAGGAGGCAGCAACCCCAAGCCCCCAACCCTCTCAGGAGACTTGCCAGTGGCCTTCTCTCCCTATACTCTCCACCCCCGACCCCAACAACAACAACAAAAAAACTTAAGGAAATGCAGAGGTGCTCTTCGGGAAGACAAAGGGGATCCCACCTCCAACACCACTCCACCCACCCCCCAAACCCCCCACTTCCCCCGACCCCTCGCCACAGCCCCAGCCAGGTTTGGCTCAGGGAGAATTCACTAACCTACCTGAAAGACCCCTACCAGGGTGGTTGGGGCCCGGACAGGCTCGGAGAAATAGGGGAAGAGGCTGGCTTCCTTCGGGGGTGGGGAGGGAGAAGTTCCTGGGCTGTGTAGCCCCCACCGCCCGGGCCCCAGGCGGCAGAGAAATGGCCTGACTGGGAGGAAGAGGAGAGGGGCTACATTCCCACGCCCACCGCCTGCCCCTCGCGGTCTTGTCCTGCCGAAGCCACGGGGCCAACGGGAAGCTCACGGGGCAGAGTCCCTCCAAGGCCGGGAACACCCGAGGGGGGACCTCCGCACCTGAGTCCTCGTCGTCTATCCCGCGCGCACTGGTCCCGCTGGGTCCGGGCTGAAGGCTCCAAGCCCTGAGGCTGACGTCTCCGGACTTGTTCCCTCGCCGCCGCCGCCAGCGATTTACACTCGCCCTTTCGGCCCCGCGAGCCCCCACCTCGCCCGGGGCGCGAGCGAGGTCTCCGTCCCGGGAAGAAGTTGGGCGGCCAGTCCCGGGTCGGGCGGCGCACGGGACGCGGCGGCAGTGCCCCGCGGACTCGGGCTCAGCCACCGCCGCCCAGACAAGTCCCCACGACTGGGAGGGCGTCCCGGACAGCTCGACTCCACAGACGGGGTGCAAATCGCTCGGGACCGGACGCAGGCAAGGCCGAGTCGGAGGGGGACTTGTTCCCAGCTTCGGGGACCATGGGTCAGGGCACTTCCCCGCCCCGCTGCCCCTGAGACCTAGTCGCCGGTCCCGCGCCCGAGCAATCGGAAGGACGCGGCGTCAGGACCAATCCAGGCCCCCGCGGAGTTGGGGAGTCGCCCCTCACCCCGAAAGCCTCATTCCCGGTTGGGAGTACGCACTTTGCGCGTCCGTGCGCCTCCGCGACTAGTCGAGCCGCAGCGCTCGCGGCCGGCGAAGGTGGCTCAGCTCGGGCGCTCCAGTCCCGACGTTCCCGGGGCAGAGAGCAACGTCCGGGGACGCACGGGACGGGTGCGCCCGGCGGCCGGGGCTGCGCCGGGCGAGGCAAGCGGCGAGAGGGGAGCGCTCCGGGATTCAGGCAACAGCTACCCCTAGTGGGAGAGCCGCCGGGGCCGCCGCCGCCCCGCGCCCTTGCCCCGCGCCCCGCGCCCGCCGAGCCCCGCGCCCGAAGCGCGCCGGGTCGGCTGGGCGCAGGGACGGCGCTTCTTTCTCCATCCCTCCCGTCTGCGGCGCCCGGCGCTCACCGGCCACGGGCCCTGCCCTCCGCACCTCCCGCTGGGCCCCAGGCCGCTGACCCGAGAGCTAAGGCGCGGGGCAGGGACGCGATGGGACGGGGCGGGCGCGGCCGGGGCGGCGCGCGGCAGCCTCGGGCAACGGCGGGGAGCGCCGAGCGCGGTGTGCGTGGCGGGGCCGTGCGGGGGGTGGCCGTGTGCGAGGCGCGAATGTGAGCGCGCGCGGGAGACGAGCGGGCGAGCGGGCTCCGGGAGGCGAGCGGAGCCCGCGGGCGAACAGGGAAGGCGGCAGGGACCCAAAGTTGCCTCCTCGCGGGCCCGCGTCCCCGGAGGGGCGGGAGCCGGGGCCAGCCGAGCGGCGGCGGGGGACCCGGGCCCCGGCGGCACCTGGGCAGCGGACCCGCACGAGCGGCAGCGGCGGGGGCGGCGTTGGCGGCGGCGGCGGCGCGCGGGAAGCGAACCGAAGCTCCGGCGCGGCTCGGCGAGCGCTGGAGAGCTCCGCTCAGGTGCGCGGCGAGAGGGGCGCGGGCCAGGGCCGGGCTGCTGGGGCCGGAGCCGCGCCCGCGCTCGCACTAACTGGAGGATCTCCGCTGCAGGCGCCCGGGTCCCAGGTTCAGCTCGCCGTCCCGGGAGGCAGCCCCGGCCGGGGTCCCCCGCCCCTGGGAGCTGGCTAGGCAGCCGGGCCCCAGGCACGACCGCCCCGGCCGCCCCGCCCTCCTGCCGCCGGCGCCCGCCCCAGGCCCAGGATTTCTGATTTCTAAGGCTTTGGCCCCGCGGCTGGGGCATCCCTCCGGGCTCAAGTTGCAAGGGGGCGGGCCCGGCCGGAGGTGGAGTCTCCCGCCAAGTGAAGCCTCGGCTATAAATCGAGCTCCCTGCACAGCTCCAGCCAGATGCCGGGCCAGGCCGCCCCGCCGTTGTTGGGGGGAGAGGGTGGAGGGTCTCAGGGGGCTTGGGGGGCCGTGGCTACCATGCTCCGCTCCCTCTTGCTTCACGCCCTGAGGCTCTGCGCCCAGACCGCCTCGTGCCTCACGCTCTTCCCGCGCTTCCTCTGCACGGCCTTCATGCTCTGGCTCCTCGACTTCCTGTGCATCCGCAAGCATTTTCTGGGCCGGAGGCGCCGGGGTCGGCCCCAACCTGAAGTGGAGCTCAACAGTGACGAGGAGGAGGTGCCCCCCGACGACCCGCCCATCTGCGTGTCCGACGACAACCGCCTGTGCACCATGGCGTCGCTGAAGGCGGTGTGGCACGGCCAAAAGCTGGATCTCTTCAAGCAGGCGCATGAGGGCTGCCCCGCGCCCAACTCCCAGGTGGTCCTGCCCGAAGGCTTCCAGTACCAGCACATCCTTGACTACGCGCGAGGGGACCGGCCGCTGGTGCTCAATTTCGGAAGCTGCACCTGACCACCGTTCATGGCGCGAATGAGCGCCTTCCGGCGCCTGGTCACCAAGTACCAGCGCCACGTGGACTTTCTCATCATCTACATCGAGGAGGCTCACCCCTCGGACGGCTGGGTCACCACTGACACCCCCTACATCATCCCACAGCACCGGAGCCTGGACGACCGGGTCAGCGCTGCGCGGGTTCTGCAGCAGGGGGTGCCCGGCTGCGCTCTGGTCCTCGACACCATGACCAACTCCAGCAGCTCAGCCTACGGCGCCTACTTCGAGCGCCTCTACGTCGTCCAGAGTGGCATCATCATGTACCAGGGCGGCCGCGGCCCTGACGGCTACCAGGTCTCGGAGCTGCGCACCTGGTTGGAGCGCTATGATGAGCAGCTGCACAGCACTCTGCCCCGGCCAGTGTAGGCCGCCGAGGGGCCCTGGACTGAACTCGGAGGGCCCCGCCTTCGAACCTTCGAAGCCCACGTGCACACAAGGTCCCAACCCAAGTCCGGTTTGGGGAGGGCCCAGTGACCAGCTGTGCTGAGCCACAGGTCGCAGGCTGGGTCTGCACCCTCCACCAGGCCACCTGAAGACTCCCCACCCCCCTCCTCTGCTTCTGTGACTGTCCCTGCCTGGCTCGGTCTCAGGCCCCTTCTGAGTGTGGATGTGGTGCTACCCTTTGCTGCTGCCCCTGGACTTGTCCCACAGAGACCCCTGCTGTGTTCTCGAACCCCCTCCCCAGAGAAGAGGGCCAAGCCTTTGCCAGGGTCCCCGGCCTCTGCAAAGAGACTCCGGCTGCATCCTGTCACCTGCAGGCAGCTGGGCTTAGCAGTGTGCTGAGCCCACCCTGGTTGCCCGGCACCACACCTGCCGCTTGGGGAGGGGTGCCCGCTGTTTTGTGTCTGTTTCGTGTCAGTGAGGTGGGGGAGGGGGGTGGGCAGGGTTGTTTCCCCCCCTTAGTTGGGGTGCTCTGGAGCCCTGCTGCTGATGATGAGCTGCCTCTAACTGGTCTTGACCACGAGCTGCTTCTGAATTGCAGGGGGGCTCCTAGGGGCGCCTAAACCCAGCGGGGGGAAGAGCCCTGGGCTTCCGAGAGGAAACCGCCATAAAGGGGGTGGGAAATGGGTGGGGGTGGGGGTGGGAACGGTCTTGGGACCAGAGAAGAAGGTTCCAGAGGTTCGAAGAGGCCCAAGGAGAAGGGAGAGGCTAAGGCTCCCAGAAATGGGGCCTGGGGGGCTGAGGCGGTGGGGGTGGGGCCTGAGTGAGAGGCCTCCTGTGCAGAGCTGCCCAGTGCAGGGTCGGGAGGGGGGAGGGGGGCTGACTTGGAGGACATTTGGTGAGTGTGTGCTGGGAGCATTCCCTGTATGTAAACTTGTATTACGTGACAATAATAAAGGCTGATGTAAAACTGCTGTGGGATTGCCTTTGGTCCCTTTGTTTTTCCTTCCCCCTGAACAGCGGCAGGAATTACACAAAAATCTCCCCCTCGGGTTCCCATGGTGCCCCTGGAAGGAAGGGTGGGGTCGCGGGCAGGGGGACAGGGGAAGGGAGATGGGGAACCTATAGGGACAGGTTCTGTGGCGGTACCGGGCGCGCGCACGTGCACGGTACCGGGTGGAGGAGTTCGGGTCACCTGCCGCGCGTGTACACACACACACACACACACACACACACACACACACACACCCCTGCCCCTGCAGGAGTGAATCTGACTTCTCCCAGTGTCCGACCTGCGGGGAGGCGGCTGTGTGAGGGCCATGGGGGCTGTGGATCAGGTAACGCTGGGCTCTAGCCACCTCGGGCGCCTCTGCACACCTGGCTCCTCCCCAGCCCCCTGCCAGCATCTGGCTTCTCCCTTACCCGCTTTCCGCACCTGCAAAACTGTCTCCCCACCCCACCCCATCTCCCCCGGGCAGCGGGGGGCCGCGGGGGGCCGTTCTAGCGGGGCTCCCGGCGGTGGAAGGAGAGGTGATGGGAGAGGGAGCGCGCAGCGTACCGCCATCACACCAGCAGCAGCACCTACGGCAGAGCTGGGGTGGCGCGGCGTGCGCCCCCCTCCCAGGAACTCCCTCCTTCTGACCCTCCTCAGCTTCCCCAAGTTCGAGCCAAACCCCCCCCCCCCCAAGGGCTGGGAAGCGGAGGAGGATGAGGGGGGGAAAGGCCAGAAAGAGAGAGACCGCCGACTGCAGGGACGGGGGCTAGGGAGGAGGGGGTCGCGAGGTTCAGCACAAATCCCCGCCCTCAGTCAAGGCCAGGCGCTCCCAGCCCCGCTTCGCTCCCTCCCCTGCTGCTCCCTGGGTGGGGGTGATCCCGGGACCCGCCGCCCTCTGCTAGCGACACCTGGAGCGGGAGAACCGGCGGGAGGAAGGAGCGCGGAGGCGGGGGCCGGGCCCTGAGTGGGGGAGGGGGACAGCCGAACTTCCCGGCTGGGGTACCGGGCGGTCCAGGTGAGGAAGGGGGCGGAGTGCGGTGAGCGTCGGGGTGTGAGCCAGCGCGCACTCTGGAGGGGTCCGCGCCGGGGGGACCGGGACGCAGCGGGCTGGAGGGAAGAGAGAGGCCCCCGCACCACCCAGGCTGCCTCCAGCTCTTTGCCCAGCCCCGCGCGGCTCCTCCTTGAAAACTTTTTGAAACTGACACCCTGGGCTTGGGGGGGAGGAGGGGGAGGGGGGACCGCGATGGGGAGAGAAGGAGGGTTTTGCTTTAAAAGTATTTATGAAAAATAACTTCTAAGAAAGTTGGCACAGATGCTATTTCTGCATCTCCTCCCCTCCCCTTACCCCTGCGCGCTGCTTCTCACCCCTAACCCCCAGGAGGAATACGGAGAGAGAAAGCGGCGGGGACCCGACCCGGAGGTGGGGAGGCCGGTCCCGAGCTCCAGCCCGCGCTGGCCCGGTGGGAGTTTGGCAGCTGGGAGGAAGCAGAGGGCCGCCCGGGACCGCCAGGGACACCAGGGTGGGGGGCGGGGGGCGGTTAGGGCTCACTGCGCGCTCCGGGGATCCCCGGACCTGCCTGCCTCTTGGGGTCCAGTTAGACCCGCTGAGCGACTTCCCTCCCCAAGAAGCTGCACCCTTGGCGCTGGGACCGAAACTTGGAGCCCTTGGCGCTGGGACCCGTGGCCCCTGCCCCTGCCCGGACCCTGGATGCCCGGGAGCATTCTGGCATCTCCTCGCCGCCACCTTTTCCTCTTCCCCTTCCCCTTCCTCTCTCTCTCCCTCTCCCCGACCCTCATCTTTCTGTTTCTTTGTCTCTTCCTTTCCTCTCCTTCTTTGCTTGTTTCTTCCTTTCCTTTCTTTCTCTTTCTCTCTTGTCCTTTAAAATCTCCCCCTCCTTGTAAAAACAATGCGAGCTCATTGCCGAAATCACAGAAGCTAGGGAGAAGAAGAAAAAACTAGTCCCATGCAGCCTCTGGGTGGGCACTTTCAAATGTGCCTCTTCCTGGCCCTCACACTTGTAAAGAGATTTTTTAAAAAACAGAGGGGGATTAGCCTTTCGTAGCCCGACAGTAACTTTTGACTCCTGCTACCCCACTTTCCCTGTCAGTAAGTGTTAGGTGTGCAGGCGCTCTGGCATAGGGAGGTTCCCATAGGGCAGCTGACCCTGGTTTAAGTGAAATTGCTCAGTCAAGGCATGTGCATGACCTTAACGATGTCTGCTTTGCCATAGTTTGCTCACCTACCTTCCAGAAAGTCTGTTTTATTTGATTTTATTTTTTTTATGTTTCCCCAGTGCTCTCTCTCTCTTATGTATCTATACATGAAAATGCGCAGATAATACATAAATCCATCCTCAATAATAAATTTTAAAAACAGGAGAACATAGAACAGAAAACACAAGCCTCACTTAGAGCAGGATTTTTCAAACTGCATAGAGCAGTGGGCCATGAAACCAGCTTCTCAGATGAGTCAAGAGCTGAAACAGAACACATGCACTATAAATACCATGTACATTTCACCTAGGGTGACCACAGTCTCTGGAAACGTTTGTTTCAGGGTGTGTGTGTGTGTGTGTGTGTGTGTACAGGTGGCTGATGTGAAATGCATTTCTCCTGAGGGATCAAACGGGCTTGGAAATGTTGGAAAGCCACCACCCTGAAGTTCCCATTCCTCCCTGGTCCTGGACAGCCCCGAAGTGTTTCCTTCCAGACTCTGCGTCACCTACTGACATCCTCAGACCTGGGTTCTGTAATCAAGATCACACTGGACAGCGATGATCGCCCCACCCACCCCACACACTTTTCTCCTGCCGTTCCTTCTCCTGGCCTCCTTTCCCTGTCCACACATCTAGAGGGAGCAGGTCTGTGCTGCAGGATACCTCCTGGCAGCACCATCGACTGTCTGGGCCCCCACCCCACCCAGGAGGAACTCAGCTCTGCCCTCATGCTCAGTCATTAGCACTTTCAAGGTTCACCATCAGCTTAGCCCGTGGTTTAGCCTCAAGCAGGGAGAGGGAGGTGGGGCATTAAGCAGGTTGGTAGACGAGATCATATTTGCCCTTAGCAGGCACAAGTGCCTCCCCCAGGAAGACATGGAGGGAAGGGCATCCTGGTGGAGGGTGCTGCTGGTGCCAAACCAGTAGAGGCCTGAAAGTAAGAGTTGTGCTCAGAAAGCAGGGAGCCCCCCCAGGTGGCTGCAAACCAGGAGGAGGAGGAGGAGGAGGAGGAGGAGGAGGAGGAAGGGCAGAGAGGAGCCTTGGGCACCAGCCCAGAATCTCTGCTGAGCCTCAGGGGTGGGAGTCTCACCAGAAAGAGGGAAAGTAAGAGGGAGAGGGGAAGGAGCATGGGATGCCTGGGGAGGGGGGTGGGTGAGCGCATCCACCCAGCCTCCACTGACAGAAGGTATAGCTGCGCTTTCAGGAGACAGGCTAGCATCTCATCCTTGCACCCAGCAACTTTCCTTAGGTACTTACCTGAAGGAAATTACCTGAAGGAAATCATCAAACTATTGGCCAAAGGGGTAAGTGGATACCAAGAGGTTCATGGCCTCCCCTTTGTAGTACCCAGACCTCCACCTGTAGGAAAGTAATGTCCCTCACCATCCCCCACAGGTGGAGTGGTAAAGAGTGACATCTGTGCTTGCCCTGGGGCCAGGCACTGGGCACAGCGTTCTATCCGTTCTATCCGGAGTGTTTGATTTGCTCATCCTCACATCCCTCTTAGATGAAGATGATCCTTAGCCCCATTCCATGGATGAAAAAACTGAGGTGTGGCCTGGTTGGAGTAAGCTGGGCCCAGGTGTGATGGGCTGAATTGTGTCCTCTTCCAAAATCCATACGTGGAAGTCCTTACCCCTCCTACCTGAGGATGTGCCCTTATTCGGAGATCGGATCTTTAAAAAGGTCATTAAGTTAGGATGAGGTCATCAAAAAACTAAAAATGGAACTCCCATTTGACCCAGTGATCCCACTTCTAGGGCTATATCCCAAGAAACCAGAAACGCCAATCAGAAAGGATATATGCACCCCTATGTTCATAGCAGCACAATTCACCATAGCTAAGATTTGGAAACAGCCTAAGTGCCCATCAGCAGATGAGTGGAATAGAAAACTGTGGTACATCTACACAATGGAATACTATGCTGCAGTAAAAAAAAAAAAAAAAAAAAAAAAGGAACTCTTGCCTTTTGCAACAGCGTGGATGGAAATGGAGAGCATTGTGCTAAGTGAAATAAGCCAGTCAGAGAAAGATAAATACCACATGATCTCACTCATTTGTGGATTATAGAGAACAACATAGACTGATGAAAAGGGACAGATCCAAAGACTGAGAAACAGTGATCAGGCTATCAATCCCCAGAAGGAAAGTAGGGGAGGGCGAGGGTAAGGGGAAGAGATCAACTGAAGGACTTGTATACATGTATATAAGCCAAACCAATGGACATGGACAACAGGGGGATGGGATCGTGAGTGTGCGGGGCGGGGAGGGGGGGGAGGTTGGGGGTTAATGGGGGGGATGAGGACACATTTGTAATACCTTAACTAATAATAATTTTTAAAAAAGCTAGGATGAGGTCAGTGGACTGGGCCCTAGTCTAATGTCCTTATTTTTTTTTTTAATATATTTTATTGATTTTTTACAGAGAGGAAGGGAGAGAGATAGAGAGC